GAGCTCGCTAACTCGGGAGCCAGAAAGGCTGGGGGACTGAAATTTTGAGGGAATGTTTCCTGACCAAGTAACATGTAGCTGCGCAATTAACTTCCTGAACTTTGAGAACCAGCATGCTACAAATTCAGACTACTGGGATTCCATTCAATCATACTACAACACGAAATACCACGAAAACGTATAATCGCGCAAGCCCGCCTGCTGCGCGCCGCCAATGGTTTTATTACTGCAGCAAATCGCCTGGACTGTGAGCTTCTCTGCTTATATAAACAGAGAGGCGAGTATAGCCTCGCCAGTAACATCTCCTTTTTAATGATTAATGATTAGTGATTAGAGCTAACATAGCATTAATTGAGTAAGGGTTAGGCACTACACAATGGTGTATCCAGGGCGGATGACGCAATAAAAATGATCAGGCGGGAAAATTTGCGAGACCAAAAAGACGAAGGTCAGAGAAGTAACACATTTAAATGAGTTTACATCGCTCTGAAAAATGCCAGATTATCCCGAAGAATATCCCTTTAAAAAACGGCAGTCCACAAAACGGGATTGCAAAAATTTAAATGGCGCCTTTTCCCTGGATACGTCTTGTAGCTTTATTCAGGCACAGTGTTGATACCATGTTCCTTAGTACTGCGCCACGCATCCTTAGCGCTATCTGTGAACTGGTCAGCCGTATCGTATGCATCCTTAACTTTGTCTGATGCATATTGGCCTAAAATTGTGACTGGATCAGTAAACTGTTCAAAGTTGACAGATCAAAATGATAAGGCACCTCAGAAAGAGAGAGCGCGCAATTAATGAAATTTTGCTCATTTTCGATTCCCGCAAGTTCCTCTTCGTCCGAGCATTCCAAAAATTAACTTAGAATAAAATCAAAAGATAAAAGGTTTTAAGGGGAAGTCGAAAGGAAGACAAACCGTAGTTCAATGCTGCGCTTGCGATTCGTTTCATCAAACTCTTAGCTTCATCCTTCTTCTCTCCTGCATATTCATATGCGTCACTTGCTTTACGTCCTAAAACAAATTATTACCTCAGAGCTACAGTACTGAGACACAACAGTCTTTGAATTTGGGGTACAGGATCCAAGGCTTGAGAAAAGAAAAAGAAATCGAAGCTAGACGTTGTTACTGAAACAGAATGAGTAAAATGATGGAAAAGCGAGTTTTTGATAACTGGCTTTTGGAATTGAAAATATTTTGTTGTGAATATCATATTTCCTTTTTGTTTCAATGTATAACCGAAAAAACTCGCATCTGAGTTTTTTTGGCCCACAAAAATCGAAAAGTGCAATCCACAAGCGTAGATTTGTTTTACAAATCTTACGAAACCGAAAAAAAAAAACTTAATGTTCAGTTAAAAAATCACTCAGGTCTGAAAAAA